AGCTAGTTCGTAACCGCCTATATGACCGTCTATGTGCAACTCAAAATTGCATAATTTGCCCCAGTGGTAGAGACGGTGATTGCATGAGCTCGGGTATAGTTTATCTGATCTCCTGTAAGACGTGTGGTGACGAATACATTGGCGAAACGGTAGACCCCTCTGTGTCCGCATGAAAGAACACCTAGCCGGCAAAAATAGACCAAATACCCCGCTAGGCACGCATAGGACCCAGAGACATAACGGGGACGACTTCGAAGTATGTGTCACGATCCTCGCACGCGAATCAAGAACACAGGCGCGAAAAACTCTCGAGGCACTCTGGATTAATTCCAGAAATCCGAAAATGAACCGCAGGGAAGAATGCCTCATTATCACGCGTGATATAGGGCAGTATATAAAACTGCTTTTCTGGTGTGAGGGGCACATTATACTTCCATGTGATTTCTGTGCGGTTGGTCTCTACGTGACATACTTAGTGGAAACCTCATAGGAAGCGGTGAGTTTGCAAAGCTGTGTTCAAAGTGATTGAAATCTTGGTTTAGAGTTTCTTTGTTTGGTTATGGAGACGTCTGGCCGAGTGGATTGCTATCAACTTGACCTTTCCAGGCTCTGAGGAAGACGAAATCCGCCGAAACATCAGCTTAATCGTGAACAAAGAATAATAACACCTCGCGTTTGCTCAACAAAAATACGAAGAAAATAATATGTTTACTTAGACATTTTAGACATTTATGGGTTTACATGCATTTTCCTCCACCTTAACCCATTTCTCTCCGTATGTTCCCTACAATAGTCCACAGAGGGCTGGACCAAAAGAGAGTATGCACACTATGGTGTCCATACTGTTTAGCGGCTACCAGAGTTCATTTCACCGTTATATATATATATATATATATATATATACTCCTTTAATATTTTATTCATTTTTCAAAATTAGCTATTCAAAAGCAGATCAAAATAAAAAGTGTACGACCAGAAAAAAACCACTCTCCAGACTTTATGACTTACAAAAACATTTATCAAAAGTCCGTTGACCGGTAGCTCGATTAACAATTAATTGTTATCTCACTTTAATCGCTGTGGTTGTTGAATGGAATGTGTGGATAAATACGGAATTAGACTTAGTATAAACTGCAAAATATTCCCAAATTCCGAAAGTAATATATATATGCAATATGCAACCACAGTACCGCAATAAACAGCACCGTACATAGCATTCATACTGGTACGACGATAGAACAAAATCTTTTCTACAATCCACTCATGTTCAAAACCCCCAAGTCCTTAGTTATTGAGGAACTTTTTATGGTCAAAGAAATAGAAAAAAAGCAATCAACGAGCTGCTTGGATTCGATCGAGCCTACCACGAAAAACGGAGCTGAGGTAGGAGTTAAATCAACCCTACACTCCTGAAGTGCAACCTTCCATGCTTTCCCGTTTCTATAGCTACTCTGTACTGTATTCAACCACATCGCTCTATATCCTTTAATGCTTGCGATCGCCGAGGTTTTAAATTGGTAATGCAGCAATAGGAAAATATATAATGCAGTAATTTTTGGATATTTGGATGGCTCGTCTTCACTGGTTGTGCGGGTCCCAGCATGATTTCCATTTTTTCGAAGCTTTGATGGTTTAGCCACTGTGGTTCCCCACACTCTCGAGGTTAGTTTGGCCAGTCTGCCCCAGGTCGTCAAAACCACAGGCAGTCACCGCTCTTGTGGATCAGAGGGAGATTTGCCACCGTGCGACTAGTTCGGTACTAGGACGGTGGCGTATCCTGGCATTGGTTTACTCTCAGATTGCGTTCGTAACGCAGTAATAGAGAACCATATTTCATCAGACCAATATTTTAAGCTCATTACAGCAATAATTTGTAATCCTGCGAATGCGACCAGTCATCACAATTTGAAATAAACTAATCCTTGATCAACCTCTTAAATTCTTGGAGATTATCGCTTTACATCTTAAAGTGCGCTGTTTGTGCTCAAATGGGCACCACCTTCAGCTTCTAATACAACATTTCCTAACCATTCTACACAATAGAAAAACAGCCGAAGCATCCAAAGGACATCTACGGAACCAACGCTACAGTCCTAAAAAATTTAAAAAACATAAAAATAAAAGCCTTACTTCCATCTGATGGACCCCGTAGAAGAGATAAAGCGGTGCAAGAGAAAGCACAACAGCATTGAGGTAGAATAAAGCATTACTCCTGGCTGAGTTTGCAGGTGAATAGCTGGAGAGCAGAACTTCTTCCTCTCTCGTGAACTTTCCCATTACTCGGCAATAACCTAAAGTGTGGTTAACTTTTAAAAGTTAAAATATCAAACAATCAGACACTCTGTGAGAAAAGTATCCACACATGGTGTTTAAGAAAGAGATATGATACGTACTTTGCAAAGTTTATCGAACGACTTTGCGAGAAAGAGAAAACAATTAGAAGAGAACGATCTTTCATAACGAAAACAAAGAATATCCCAAAGGTATAGCGACATGTGCTACAGCCTCTGACATGTGTAAATCTGCTGGTCTTTATAGATTGTTATTCGAAAACATGAGGGTCACTGCAGTAAAAATAGTTGAACCTTACAGCCCACTTAATCGTATGTGATAGTGCTCTCAAAAGTTGAAAATAAGAACAGACTTCAGACAAGTGCTCCCCAGATCAAACCCGTCGACGGGCGATTGCTGATATGACAAGTCAATAAGTCAATAACGCGACTAAGAGAAAGGCGAAACGAAGGACCCGCATGGTGTGATGGTCAACGCGTTATCCCCCGTAAAGAGTAAGAGCGTGTTCGGTCCTCACCGCAAACACTAGCGGTCCGGACTTTTGCAAATATCTCAGCGTCATTGTAGTTATAACAAAGACTGTTAACAAGGAACACTGGGTTAACAATGTCGAATAGAAGTAGAAAGAATTGGGTTAACAATTCGAAATCAGTGACCAATATAGCGTACTTTCTGCTAACGTGACCAATGTCATTCATATCCTACCTTATTTTATGGGACACGATTTCCACGATACAGTTTACTTTGACTTTACTTTAAGTGCCTTAAGTGCTTAAATTTACTTTAAGTGCTACAGACAAGTCTTACAACAAAGCTCTGTACAACGACAATCTAGGGATAAACAACAAAGGAGAGTTCTGGAACTTAGAAGGTCACCACTGCTGACCACTTCGGCAGTGATTTCTTACAAATGAGACGTAATATGGTAGGAAATCTCGTTACTAAATGAACTTTGTTAGTAAACCCCAAAGTAATCCTAACAAAACAAACCAGCTTACTGGATTACATAATGCGGCATATTTGGTTCTTACCCGGATGCTGTTCGTTGTAGCCTTTTGGCTGCGTAGCTGTCCATTTACCTCGTTATTGCAGCGCTCCAATACGACTTGAAGGGTTTCACGCAGTCGAGCTACAATATTATGGCCCTTTGCCAATTACGGACACCGTATGCGCGAAGTGCTCCCACATGGGCGAAATGTTTCTTCCCAGTCTCTTCGATTCTAGAGCTATTTGTTAAACATGTGTCTCCTTCTATGGTCATTTCTTTTGTTATCGAACTCTGGTCGTTTGTTTTTTTTGGGCGAATGTTTTATTACCACTAACTTAACCCGCATTATTCCAGAGCAATGTCGGATACTGGACGCAGTCCTCGCCCAGGTGGTACGCAACTTAGGCAACGTCGTGGAGGCGGTAAGTTTTTAGCTTCATGGTTCTGTTCCTCCACACTGCGCGACACAACGGCGTACTTTTCGAAAGCAGTCTGTTCCTAGCTCTTTTTTCTCGAGTTCATTTGTCTTCGTCTTTGTCTGCCCAAATCTAACCGAATTCCTATAATAGAAAATGTCCAACGCAGACAGTTGTGTATGTATTTGCACTCAGGAGAGTTGATAATCCTTCTTATATCCTTCGGACTATAGGATCAGCTTGATTAACGTGACCGGGACCGTCACACCTACACCTTATTAGCTGGTAAGGCCAAATTTCAGTGTTTCTCTACGATCACCCCTTCCCTGGGACGTTTGTGAGACGTTCCTTTTCTGAGTTTTAGTGGGTTGTTCTCCCGGGGAGAATTACCTTTGTAAGAACTGTTGCAATACTTGAAGAGTTAATGCCCGATGATAGACGTTAAACATGCCATTGAGTAACTTTTCTGAAGAGGTAAGGGGCTTGCTGTCTTTTCATTGGACTTCTGTTAATCTTATGACAATAACATATTATTTATTGCTTTTATTATCTTCACGGCAGGGTGTGTTGTGAAATACAACCACTATGATGCCAAAGGGGCGCATGTGACGCAGTGGTCGGAGGCGCCATGTAATACACGTATGATTGGTTCCCACGCCGCAGGCGTACCAAGCCCTCCATCCATCCGGGGTCGGCACACTGGTGCCAGACTTGTTTGAGAGAAGAGCATCTACATTCAGTCATCTCCAACGATGCTTAATGAAGTCGAATGCATGGAGCATCCCTCAGCATTGATCAACTCCGAGAGCTTTTTTTATGGCGTCAAAATATTTGGAAAACTCAGACCGCAGGTCAGGTTCGAATCCACGATTACCGTATCCAGGGACTGAATTGTTATCCACTGCACCACTGAGGCTCTAAATCTCATGACAGTCTGAGTATGATTGCAATCCTCGCATACATTGCGCTGTCCGGGTTTTTGTGCGAGTCGGACCCCATAAGGAGAAATGAGTTTATGCATCAATGTGAGCTGTACGAATATATCTCTACCATTCACTTCTGCCAAGATTTGTTGTGATAATAATGCATTTTAGAGGGAAAGTTCTATTCTGTTCGTGGTCTTCAAAGGTCAACGCGGTATCCTATATTGAAAAATTAATTGTGCCGTCTTTCACCGAACACGTCCCTCCAGGATCATTTTCTGAAGTGAATTGGTCCCTGGTTCAATCGATATAGCACAATTAATACACCTTGTTGGCTATAGTTCATGTCGCTACAACTCTAGTGAGCAAATGCTGATCAGAGGGCCTTATGTGAAAACTTAATTCAGCTCTCTTCCTAATTCGAAATATGAAATAAGCCTTCGTCGACTATTAAGCAAACATGAGGTTGATGAAAAGGTCGTGTGATATGTACGTCACTGTTCATGCAGTGTGCCATAGAGCTAACGAATCTTCTTGGTGACTATTCTGGATGTTCTGGAATGTTTCGCTTATCCTGTAGACCATTTTGTTGTGGGTCTAATTGATATGCTACCTAGCATCTGAATGTTCGTTAACCCGCGGGGGACGCATGGCTGGCCCAGTAGAACACCGGTAGTTTTTCATCGATTGAACGGTTTCTGGTTTTTCAACAAGAAAAAATTGATTTTTCAATAACTTTAGGACTTTGGGGATTGGGAACATGAGAGAATTGTAGAAGAAACTTTTCTCTATCTTTCTGTGGGTATGAATGATGTGCATGCTACTATCTCCTGTGTTTTGCACCCATTTTGAGTTTATTTTGATGTTCTTTTTATCCACATATACCATACAATGACCATAGTGTTTAAAATGAAATGCCACCTAAATTCTTGGTCAAATTACTGGTCATTGAACTTTCGTCGAGAAAGGTTTTCCGTAAATCATTAAGTGTAGACAATTTTTTTCTGCTGTTTCGATCTGCGTTCGATTGGCTATCGAATGATACATAGTGCTGTAAAAAGAAATTCTAGAGCGCCCTAAACTCCAAACCATTCTCTGGTCCAAGGAGCGAATGTGGTGCAGTAGTCAGAGACGCTCTATAATACACATGGGTTCGATGGCGGCGCCCTTGGCTCAACAAGACTTCCATCCCTCCGGGGTCGGCAAATTGGTACCAGACTTGTCTGGGAGAATAGCAGCACTGGCTCGATACATCGGTAGGCCATCGCGAGTCATTGTATAGGCGAGGTATGCATTGAATAGTCTTTAACGATGATTAGTGAAGTAGAATGTATGGCGCATCGCTTATCGATTGGTCAACGCCGAGAGCATTATCTTTTTTTTTCAGCCATTCTCTGGTCCAAGCATCCAAAGTTTAATTTTTTTCACCATTAGTTGGACGTTTTTACCATCCAGTTGGTGCAGTGGATCATAATTACCGCATGAAATAGTCGGTTCCAAGGAACATCGAAACACCTTCAGAGAAGAAAGCGCAATGTCCTTCTATATTCTGGCAGCATTCTGTTTGATAGGTGAAGTACAATGAAATTTGGCATAGTGTAGCAGTGTTCTACCTATAGATGGATAAAGCAAGACCTCTTTTGCAATTTTCTGATGTTTTTAACCGCTTACGTCCTCTTCCTATCGAAAATCTTCGTTTGCTGTCGAAGAAAGTGGCATTTTGCGTGTCTAAGTCGTGGACGAGTTTACGATTCTTCTAGCCTCCGCGAAGTCAACAGTGGTCGCGTGTGTTAAGATTCACGATTACATCGACTTCATTAAGCATCGTTTGGAGGTTATGGAATGCATATCTGGCCTTTACAATGACTCGCGGTGGCCTATCGGTGTATCAAGCCAGTGCTGTTGTCGTCCCAGACAAGTCGGGTACCAATTTGCCGAGCCCGGAGGGTTGGAAGGCTTGGTGGGCCATGGACGCTGGGATGGATTCCACGTGTGTGTTGCAGAGCGCTTCTGACCACTGCGCCATACGCCACCAAGTGCCATATAGCATAAAAAACCCGCGAGCATTGTTTCTGTTTCTTATCTGCTAATCTCTTATTCGGGTGTTCTTACACTTACAGCTCTAATTTGTCTAGATATCTTCCTTCTGTTTTTTTTTATCACAAACAGTGTGATAGTTTAGGAACGGCCGCTGTTTCTTCCGGACGCCCACGCGCTGGCAACAGTAGCGGACTTTGGCGCTTCTACACAGAGGATTCGACTGGCTTGAAAATAGGGCCTGTACCGGTGCTCGTAATGAGCTTAGTTTTTATCGCCTCCGTTTTTGTTTTACACATCTGGGGAAAATTTACCCGAAGCCGTGCTTAAAACAGTCACTTTTCGTCAGTGGGTTTAAATATTGTTCGTATGTAATCTAATGTTTTCTTGATGTATCTGTAATAAATGCGATCTGTAAAAAAAGCTGTTCATCATTTGTTAAAAGTTTATTGACAGTCATTCTTCACATTTTGCAGTGTCAATGATTTTTCTTTAAGACTAAGAAGATTTTCATGACAATGTGAAAGTTTTTATTCAAGGGGTGGTTATCGCTGTGGCTTTATATTCCGTTAAAAAGTCTTTTGTGCGGTTTTGTGGAATGGTGATTTGAACGTTGGTGAAGATGTTGCAGCTTCCAGAATCTTCTTTGATTTCTTCAATTCCAGGCGATGCCATATTGCTTGTTGGTCCTGAAGAGAATTTAATATGACGTAGACTGAGAAATTAGATTTTATGACTTATTTCGCATTACCCTCTACACAGGATAGGATGAGGTCTACGTCATTGTCCAGCACTAATTTCTGTTCTTAGTGCGTTTCAATCGCATCCTTATGGTTTTTGTAATTTGTGATCTTAGAATATAGTACGTCTAATGTGGCCTTGACCTCATTTATTGATACAAAACTTTGTATCACTACATTATCATCAGGTTCTAGCCGTCGGGTGCGCTACTGGTAAACTACACGGCTTGTCCTTAAGTTCAGTAGTGGAAGGGTGGACAAGTGGGACCAAATGCGAAGTAACATAACCGTGAATGTGAAGTGGAATCCACGTTTATTTAAGGAATGTTCTACACGTATTGCTATGATGGATTAACTTACATCTCTCCCATACACATGAAATCGTGTGCTTGTTCTCATTGGGATTGCATTTAGCATATTGTTTGAGCCAAAAGGCATCAGGCTAATGGGAATTACAGAACTACGGTAGTGGAAACCAGCAATCTGGTAAACGTGTGCACAGATTCCATGGTAGATTCCGGAGAGCTGTGGATATTCGTTAACCAGAAACAGTGAATTGTAGTCTTCTGAAGAGTACGGTGGACTAAATATCCTTTGAGAGAACAATAGCTATTGACTGCCTGATACTGAATACGTGCTGGTTCTCACGCGAGTCAATGGCTAACGGAGTTCCAGGTTATAGAGTCGAATTGTATTGAATTCAGTGTAGTGTGATGTTACCAAATGGTTGTCCTGATAGACATATCGACAGGTTTTTATTTCTATTTGATATTTTCTATAGGCAGTCCCAGTATGTCTCGACTACCTCCGGCTTTGTTGCAGAGATACATCTCAGCGTTGTTGAGTTATTTTCATCCGCTGTTGAGCGTTTTTCCGATGATCTGCAAAGTTTCACCATCTTATGCTATTCTTGAGATTTCCGGTGCAGATGTGCTAGCATCCGGATCTGTTTAACTGTATCGCATTTTTCTTGAGCCAAGTGCAAATCCAATAAGAATAACCTTGAAAGGGTTATTGTAGTAAATATGAAACACCCTCTAAGATGCTAGTTTCAATGAAGTTACTGTTCTACGCTTTCCATCATGTTTGATTAAGGGCTTATTGTGGGGGGATAGCTAGAGTATGCCTGGTTGAATTTAGACATCACCAGTTCGTATTTTATCCTATTCTTCTTAATATTTTAACTTCTGAACGATCGATTGGTTCCTTACATTTTGCAGTTACTCCGTATAGATGGAATCTTGGGGGGATCCTGTATTGTAACATAGTAAATGGAGCTATTGTTATTCAGAGCCACGTCTTCAGTCATTCTGGAGGCAGTGTCGGACGGCTGTACGACAGTCGCAGCCAGTTGTGCTACGCCACCTGAGACTGCAGTTGGCAGATCTGATCTGAAACATCCGTGCAAATAGCAATGTTTAAAAGTATGCCCAAACGGAAGCATTGAAGCTGAATTCTACAGTAAACTATGGAAAGTAATAGTAGTAAATATGTCTCTTTTCCAAAGGAAATAGATTCCGTGTATCTTAAGTTTAAGAAAATTGGGTACCGATGGAGTTAATTGGATCTAATGAATGATCCCATGAAACAGAGCATAGCCGGCTTTTTAATGTCTGACGTTATTTCTTTCGTAATTAGAAGAGCTGAGGAATTGAGAACATGACAGACTTATAGAAATGGTTTTTTCCTATGGCTCTAGTGGTTAAGTGATTTTTCCGAAATGTTCTTTCGGTTTGGAACCGATTGGAAAAACTTTGTAACTCAAGTCCGCAAAAATCAATGGCGCCATCTATATTTCAAGACTTTGAACTTAATCCAGAATTCGTAAATATTAGCGGGGTACTGGGATGCTTTCATAGTCCTGTTCTACGGAATTGTGAATGTTCAATCGCTTCGATGTTTGAAATACCGACGCTGACGAAAGCAATCTGATTTTTGGACTCGAAAAAACTCCCAGAATTTTCCTGCTGAGCAGTGGACGAACTTGGATACCATACCCAAAAATATGCACATTCTAATAGTTTCTATGTTCACTCTTAGCTAAGAGGTACATTTGTTTAATTCGTATTTTTGTTGAGCAAACGCGAGGTGTTATTATTCTTTGTTCACGATTAAGCTGATGTTTCGGCGGATTTCGTCTTCCTCAGAGCCTGGAAAGGTCAAGTTGATAGCAATCCACTCGGCCAGACGTCTCCATAACCAAACAAAGAAACTCTAAACCAAGATTTCAATCACTTTGAACACAGCTTTGCAAACTCACCGCTTCCTATG